TCCCTCCCTCTCTCCCTCCCTCCACCAGGTCCCCCACTCCGCCTCACTCTCCTCCACTCTACTTCATTTGTATTCTATTCTTAGGGCCGCTCATCTCTCCTTTGTCGTTCCTTCTCGTCCCTTTTTAATCTCATTGTATCTCCCTCCCTCGTCTTGTTCATCCTTTAGTGAGACAATGCTCCTCGGAGGGTGTCGAGGTACGCGAGCCAAGGCTACGATGATAATCCTGTTACACTGCCACAAGTCAACACATGGCAAAGCGAGGGAAAGACGAAGCGTCTGGAGGGAGAGTGTCCAGTTTTAATTCACTTAGCTGAAAGTTTGACCAAGTTAAGCTGGTGTAAATTGAGCCAACTTCAGGAAAAGCTTAAAAAAAAAAAAACATAAGCGTGCATTATGCCGCATTTGGCGGATGACATTATTATTGTATAGGCTGTTTATTCAAAAGCCAATTTAAAAATAGCCGTTGGCGAGGAAATTAGAGTGAGCGAGACCTTTAGGTATGCATAGAAACTGCATGCTCTTTTTTTGTATGGTCCAACATGGCCATCTTCCTGTTGTATTCCACACTTCCTGCCCTTTGTCTCTGCTCGCCCTCCATTCTTCCACGCCAGCCCTCCCTTCACAGGAGAACACTTCTATAAGGCGTAGTAATCCATTAACAATGGGCCCACACAGGAAATGACAGACAAACAGGAAACTGGACAGCGAGCAGTCATTTCAGTGTAGGTTTTTAACCTGTTAAAACCCTCCAGCGGCTAGCTGGGGGTTGTGGGTAAAGAGGTGCTGTTGGGTTATTGGTAGGACTGTGAGATTTGAATCTGGATGTGTCATTTTCTAAAACAAAGGCAGGAAAAATAAATCTGTGTGAGAGAGAGGCCAAGTTAAACTTTTTTGCCTTTAAGAATATGTGAAGGAGACATCTTTATTCTGCCAAATTAGAAGTTTGTTAGAGTTTTTTTGTAGCCCTTAATCTTCTGAGTAAGTACCCCTGAGGCCCATTCAACATTTATTATGTAATTTCAAAAATGCATGGCCTTCAGTCTGAAAATGTTTTTTTTTTTTTTACATTTTCCTAATTTGCAGACTTTTGGGAGACGTTATAGGCTCTCAGAGAGTGTTTACTGTGCTTGCCGTGTGTAACCTGTTTGTCCCTCAGTTAACCTTCCCCCCACTGTTAACCTGTATTTAACAGAACAACCACACAATAATCCCCCCCCCGTAAACCAATCAGCACACAGGAAAGGCAGCTCCTGCTTCCTCTTCCTGTTTGGATGTGGGGTATCAGTGACACGCAGATGGCAACTGGAAACAAACAAGGACAGTGTGCCATCCGCCTCTTACTAATGCCCCCCTCCCACCCATTCATCAGGTTAATCTGGACAAGCCTCTGGTGTGATGCTTGGTGACATTGTCCTAACCTGCGTTTAAATAAACATACGGCGGGCTGCTCCTTAACCTCGCAGGATTAAAGCGGAGGAGGGAGTAATCCTGCCCTCATACCTCAAATCTCCTGGACTGTGGGCCGTGTGCGCCTCAGACAGTGGAGCAAGAAAGAACCAAAGACAGCCATTAAGCATTCTCCTCTTGCGGTTGGCGGGCAATGTGGAGCACTTTACCCAATTCACCTTGCCCCCTAATGGATGACAAGAGATATTGCGTTCTGAACTGCTCTCACCCCTCTTGTTTTAAATTTTTTTTTATCACCCACTCTCCCCCCCCTCTTCTTCTTCTTCTTCTCCACCAACACCAGGTTCCCCCTCCGTTCCTGTTACCGTGTCGACCAACAAACACAAGGTGGAGGTGCGCGAGTTCTCAGGTGAGGGAGAAAAAAAAAGCAGCTCGTCTCTCGGCCGCCTCATCTCACTTTTGAGTCATTTTCAGAGCCTCTGCTCCTGTCAGATTCTCTCTGACAGGATAAACAGCGAGGCTATAAATAGAGCAAGCAGTTAAAAATGCCACTGATTGAAGGCTCTGCCATAAATATCTCATTGGTCGCGTTCCCTTTTTTCAGATGCGGTGCTGTCCTGCATGTTCCACACTGAGAGAGAACAGAACCCGCGGATCGAGTGGAAGAAGAAGGGGAAAGATGTTTCCTTCGTGTACTATGGTGGACTCTTCAGAGGTGAGAAAGCAGCCTGTTGTGCTTCATCCCCCCCCCCTTGGGCGACCAACAGGGCGTTTGTTTTAATCAGCTTGCAGTGCCAGCTGGAAGGGGTGTGCCACATAGGGTGAGGGAAAAAAAAACACCACCCGGGCACGGCGAGACAGGAATGATAGACACGAACTGTCTGTGTCAATGATGTCAAGGCATAAAACCTGTCTCTTATCCTTGATCCCGCTCATTTGCGGTTTAGGATGTGGTTTTAATGGCTGAAATAAATAATAAATCATACAGTAGCGTTCCCCCGGTCAGTCTCTTTTATAGGCGGTGCAGTTAGCCTGACAATTTTCTCAAATATGTCAAGGCTTTGAAATGCCTCTGACCCGTCGCCGCCTCTTCGTTGGCAACTGATTCCCAGCTTAGTTTAAAAGGTGGCATGAATTACTGCCTTCACAATGTCAGGTGATTTCTTAGAAAGAGCTGCTTGTAAAATCACGGAAAGTTACGCCACGGGAACCTACTCTTCCACCCACAGGCTGGATTATCAGGGTAGGGGGCCATCAACACTGGGGCTCTCGGAAGTGGGGGTGGGGCTATTCCTGAAGAGTTGGCCTTCGGGAAATATCTGTCTCTTTAGCTGCTATATGCTCACTATGTTCACCAGCCAGTCTTTAACTGTGTACTGGGTTTTTAGAGCTGCCTGCTACGGCCAAAAATGCATATGAGAGCACAGAGTGAACCAAAACAGAATGCTGAACAATGAGCTGAAAGGGTAAAACTAAAGCCGAGAAGAGTTTCAGATTCACTGCATTCACCACTTCAATAATATATCATGAATATCACTATATTGTGCTCTGTAGGTAATGTATATTATAGATTAAAACAAAGTGGCTAGAGCCCCCAGCCAGGGAAGACATTTTCTCTCCCTGATCTTCCTGACCTTCCGTCCTTTCTCTCAGGTCCCTTTGAGGGCCGGGCCACCATTCAAGGAGCCACGGTGACGCTGCAAAGGGTGACACAGGAGGATGCCGGGGAGTACCGTTGCGAGATCAGCGCTCCGTCTGACTCCATCAGCCTGGGCGAGACCAACGTCACGCTCAAAGTCCTGGGTACGACTGAAAGAGAATCAGTGATACACTTGGTGAAATTTGAATGGCTAAAGTGTTGAGAGAGTGGCTTATGTTTCTGTAATTCTGTCCTGCAGTTCCCCCACACACCCCGTCCTGCGAAATCCCCAGCGGGGCAGTGACAGGCTCAACGGTGCAGCTGCGCTGTAGGGACCAGCAAAGCATCCCGCCCGCTACATACTCCTGGTTCAAGGACAACCAGCCGATCAACCCGCCCCGACTCCAAAACGCCACCTATCTAATCGACTCACACACAGGAATACTGGTGAGCGTCGGCAGATAAGAAAAACTGGGTATAATGGAGTGTGTATTGGGAGGTTGTTTACATGGTTTCCTTGCAGTATCATGTCTTATCAAAAGAAGCAAAGACGTTTTCTTCAAGGTGCTCTCGTTTGATAGTAAGTAGCGTTATTGAGTCTTTCTCAAGGACGCTTGAGCACTAACAAGCTTTTCTCTTCCCTCTCTGTGTCTCCTGCAGGAGTTTAAAGCTGTAGCCAAAGAGGACACCGGCAAATACAGCTGCCGGGCATCGAATGGAGTGGGGCCACCAAAGATGTGCGAGGGCAAGCACATGACGATAGGTGTGTGTGTGTGTGTGTGTTTCCACACTTCATCCTGCCTCTTCCCCCACACCTTTCAGCACTGGAGAAAATCAGGGATGCAGTGGAGAGGAAAAGTCCACAAAACTTACTTCCCCCTGCTTTTAAAAACACCTTTACAAACTAGACTTGAAGGGCCACTGTATCCATTCTGGGACAGTCTGAATAGTCTGAAGCCTCAGCGCTCAATTGCCATTTATTGCTCAGAACTGATTTTTTTTGTTTGTCTGTTCACATTATTTGTAAAAAGTGGCCCATATCCGATTCCAGGGTATAAAAGTCACATGATTTCTGATAAGACTGCTCACACTGCAAAAAATCTGACCTGTATCTGATTTGGGCCACTTGTGCCTGCAGCATGAACGCAGCCTAAAATGAGACTGTTTTGTTTGGAAAGGTTTTCAGCTCGCTAATAAATTATACAATGTACTCTAGGTTGATGCAAGCAGCCACTTATTATTGCATATTGGAGTACAGAAGAAGGCATTAGACAGAGTTGCATTAAAATGTGGCCTTCCTTGTTCATGTTCATGTTTGGAGACTATAGTTACTACTGTTAGGCGATCAGATATTCCTCCATCTTTTCTGACTTACTGCTTCAATAAAACAAAACTGGAAATGGAGAGCTTTTCTGCTGCATGTGGAAAACAGACCGTAGACAGACTCTTTATTCCTGCCTTCCTCTCGCTTCCAGAGGACGTCAACATCTCAGCCGTGGTGGCAGGAGTGGTGGTGGTCTGCCTGGTCATCGCGGTTTGTGGATGCGGGGGGTTCCTCTTACATCGCAACGGATTCTTCAGTCGTGAGTTTGTCTTTTTAGTCCGATCCAATAGGCGCTTTGTCTGCCTCCCTGAACAGTGAATCAGTTAATACACATATTGTTTTTATTCACTCCAAAAAAAAAGTGACACTCACTCTGTTTTCTCTTCCACGGTCCTCCTGACTCATCCATCAGCAGGACACAGAGGAAGGTAAGAGCTCCGTGATTGCATTAACATTGATGTGAACAAACACAGGCTAATACCCTACACACTGAGACTGAGGAAGGAGGGGGGGGTTGGGGGAGGGATTGTTGTTGCACTTAGACTGTGTTGCGTGTCTGCGTGCTGAGTCAGGACTGTATGGAGTGACAGCTGTGGCTGTGTGTGCCTATATGTGTGTGTTTTTGAGCCACAGCCGTGCCTGTTGTTCTACTCATCCAGTGATTGGCGCCAGCAGATGTAAAAACCATGGGAAAAGGTTGTGTGTGTGTGTGTTTTTTTTAAACTGACTGCCACTTCCAGGCAGATGTACATCTGTTGAAACTGTGTCAAAATGCAGCAAAACAGATGATCCAAAAAATTCAGACAATTAAAGGAGGAGAAATAATCAGTGCAGCATAATTATGGAATAATTACCAGTTGTTAATCAGCAAGGAGGAAAATATTGGCAGTAGAAAGAATCACAAGCAATTAAACTGATTGGATGGGTAATTTGAAATGGATTATTTAGATATTGTAGAATGAGTCTGTGGCGTAACAGAGGGCTATGAGTGCAGTGCATTTACACACAATATCAGGCCCCGTCCAGTAAACACACCAGGGTGTGTGGGCGTAAGGACGTTTTGATGCTTGACTGCCTGTTAAGCCAGAAACCAGAGACATAAATGTTTGTCCCCATGTGACTGGCCTAACTCGCTTGACTTTATGTTATTTGATTACTGGCTTGTTACTGTGCAGCGTTTGATGGAGAGTCGTTGTGGAGCTCTCCTTGAAGCGGATGCGAAAGCTCTTTGTCTAGGTTAAAGTCTGATGCTTATCCCACTGAGCTAACTGGAGCTGTCAGTGTCAACTTCCTATTTATAGAACAGGCTTCTTCACAAAGACTCAAAGACAATGTGACATGATATCTGATGCACCAATAGTAGGCACAAGTTAACAGTGTAGGACTGTAGATCAAGGATTCAGCTCTGCCTTTAACAGAGAAATGGACATGGAGATGTAGATAGATGGATGAACGTCCTATCATGCTAAACACTGAGCAGGGTCCAGTTTGAAATTGTCCTTACAGTTGATGGTTTTCGTGAAAAGGAGAATTTGGGCTGTTTGTCGCTGAGATTTAAGCCCCTTAAAGAGAAAACGATACACATAGCTGTCCATGTACTCTGAGGGTTACATAATACGTAGCTTCCTCAGCTAGTGTTTCAGACGGATATTTGAAGAAACATTATTTTTACTACAGTTCTGTTTTTCCCAATTGTAATCACAAAATAGACGTAATTAAATTTAATTTTTAAATTTACTTGTAGTGGTACAGCGTGTGCAGTAATAGTCCAGTAATAAACTAGACAAACAAAAGTTTATGAATAAGTGTATTTATTGCAAATGAATAATTACTCAAAATAAATCACTTTCAATATGTCAACATAAATAACTTCAGTAAATAATTTACATCTTTAAATATATTTTCAAAATCTATAAAAGAACAAAACAGATTTATCTTTTTGGTGAACATGTCAAAATAAGTGTAATAAAATACACATTTTTAAATTCAAGACATCAGGAATTCACATTACAGACACTGGCGCTGACTGTACACAGGCCGGCCGTATACTAGCTTATTAAATGTTCATCTGCAGTGGTCCCAGTCATATTTGTTCTTAAGGTTTACTGAAAAGCAGATCACATGACATAGTCCAGCTACGTTTGAGTCATAAACTGTGAGAAATGCAGTTGCAAAAACAATATTTTCCACTTAAAATGTTTGATTTGAAAGAGACATTTCCTTCTGTTAACTCCCCCTGCTCTTTGATTCATTCCTGTGGATGTCTGTTGTTTTTCTATGACTCACTCCCTATTGAGTGTTTTGTCAGTGATTGTTATTTAGAGTGCTTTAACTGTGCGCTTTCCTTCATGTGTCTCTGTACACTGAGTGCTGTTTTCTCTGTTACCAGCAGTGGGTTTTATGTTGTTTTCCAGTTTCATTCCCTCATGCTGAATATTAGGGACTGTCATTTGTGCCCATATGATGTACTGTGAAGCGCTATTCAGTCACAAAACTGCAGGGTTGCGCAGAAATTGGTTGAATTTGCGTGAATTGAAACTTCCTGGAGGGACTGGACTGGTTATTGATTTCTCTTAAAGTGGGTGTGTTTGTGCTAGTGGGTAGTGACATACTGTAAATCCAGATTTAAGAGCATAGGTGTAGGCCTCTAAGCTGAGGGCCCCAGTGGTTCCTTTAACTAGCTGAATAAAGAGTTGTTTCTGGGAGCTGATTGTTTGGTCTCAGTCTAATTTATATAAAGGTGAGACCTTTGGGGCCCTCGTAGTACATGGGCCGAGGGATGAACCCACTGGGGGTTGCTGGTCTGTGTGCATTATGAGATGACAATTGCGTAATAAAGAGGCTCTAGAAGGGGCCTAAACTGGAGCCTTGGGGAACACCAAATATAAAATGTCCATTTAAGAATTAATAAATGTGTAAAGATTGTGCATGTGTCTTGCTCAAGGACACTTCCAGAGCTGTAGCACAAACCTGAAAGAAAGACAGTAGAATAGAATCTCATTGGCTTTAGACATTGTATATTGGGGTGTTGGATTGCTGCATGTGATTGGCTCACCACTTGACCAGCTCATCCCAGCATTTCGTTGAGCTCTGCTGCATCATGATTGGCTGCATGTCTGTACAGCATCGCCACTAGGGTATGAAATATTAAATCATTCATAAAGGTGTGCTTGAAAATAGAGCTTTGTACCCGTAAGGGTGGGTTTGAACTTTTAGGTTTATTTTTGTCATTTCAAAGCATGTGGTTGAAAATACGTGTCACTGTAATCTGACTTGTATATTTGATTTCAGTTTCGATGCTGTGTATTCAGGTCATCGCTGGCAGATTTTTTTCAGTCTGAATATTTAAGACTTCTGCCTGTAAACTGTGCTTCGCAGATACAGTGCATTCAGATCCATGCCTTCAAACTTAATTTTACAAGCTGAGGACAAAAATGATCCACACAGAGAGATTGTTTTGCATAATATAGTTTTGTACGCAGTGTGTCGTCCAAAAGGAGGTTAGCCTTACAGGTCAGTTCACACTCAGAAAGGCTCCCAGCTTACCCGACGTCCAGTAGGTTTGCATTACTCATAAATTTCCTAACTGGGTCATTGTAGAGTCTTTGTGTATTTTGTTGACCTGCTGGCCTGGAAGAATCTGCTTTTACCTTATTTACCTGAGTGACTGAAATCTATTGGACGCCAGGTGAGCTGGGAGCTTTCCTGCTTGTGAAATTATGCAGGCGTGGATTTGAATGCTTAAACATGTGAAGCACTGTTTTGAGACAAGTCTTTATGTTCAGATTCAAAAAAATAAATCTGCAAGCAGTGACCTGAATATAGAATCAGATCAGATGTATTTGATATACTTTCAAGCGCATCCTTATGAATTATTTGATATTCCATACTAATAAGCCCCCCACCCCGACTCCATTAAAGCATGGTGTGCAGTTTGAGTCCGAAATGACCCCGCTCTTGTTGACCCTCTTTAAAGCCAACAAACTGACCCCTACAGGTCATTTTGGATCTCCCAGTGTCATGGTGCAGCCCACATCAGCAGCCAAACCCTGCACAGAACTGAGGACACGTGAGTGTGACCCTTAGGCCCACAGACAGATACAGAAGCAATTAACAGCCATAATAATTAGAATCTTTGACTGTGTACTTAATAGTGAAATTTTTTGATAACACAATACTAAAAGAACCTTTCGGCAACGTAAAAGAGGCTCTTTTTAGACCCGTTCTGGGCAACTGTAGAAACTTTAACCACAACTTTAGTTTAACACCAAACTTGACTGATGTTTTCATCAAACCTATGACATTAAAAAAGTCCAGCAAAGTTTTGAGAATTTTTTCCTTATCAAAGGCAGAAATACAATAAAAGTAACGAATAACAAGATTTTTTTTTAGCACATCTCGTTCGTTTAAACCATTCAGTAACAGAAATAATTGACAATTTGTGTTAGATTTATCAAAATGTCAAACTATTCCTAAGTCCAGTGTGTAACATTTAAGAGGATCTATTGGCAGAAACTAAATATAATATGCATAACTATGTATCCATTAGTGTATAATCCTCAAAATACGAATTCTGATATTTCTGTTACCTTACAATGAGCCTTTTAAAGGTCACCTTCCATGGAGGCCGCCATGTGGAACCGCCATGTTTCTACAGTAGACCTAGTTTCTCGTACACTGCAGCTTTATCTCTAGATGCCATTAAGTCCTACACACTGGNNGCATTTTTTGTGGCCACTGTAGTTTCTCCTTGGAAGGGGAGGGAGATGGGTGGGGGCAACTGCTATATGCCATAAATCATACACACTGGTCCTTTAAGTATTCAGTAGTGGTTCAAATAGATTTTTAGTTTTCTAATTATTTCGGTCTGTTTTTGCCTCCATAGACAGAAGAGCAGAGTAAGCGTAGACTCATTGTGTACATTTACATGTATATTCAGTAGTGAGTTTATTAGGTACACACTGTTAAAACTAATGCAGTCTAATACAACAGTCCCACAATGACTGACTTTGATGAAGACAGTAATGTTTTCAAGGCTTCTTTCAGCAGAACCATTGTATTAGACTGCATGTTCCTTACACATTCCTCTCTCCAGCTTAATACAATCCTGCTCAGCCATCGAGAATTCAAAGTGAGACTTTCCTTTTTACCCAATGGGAGGTTTGCCATGTATGATGTGCATTATTTATGCAGGGCAAGATATGACTCAGGATACAGCTGTCCGCCTCGAGTCTCTTCTCTTCTCTGTGACTCTGTCAGACTGTCCGATGTGCTCACCATGTCTTTGTCTTCCAGGTCCAATGTCAACTACATCCCCCCGCCCCAAGAAGTAAGTGGTTTTTTTTTTTCCCCTCCCTCTCTCATGTTGGGCTCTGAGTCGTAACATGAGCAAAGCGCTGACTTAAGCACAAGCTGCTCACACTTACCTAATGAACGTTGGTTTTTGATTGAAATTATAACACCGTCACCCAGAGCCATATTTCTGAAACGAGTGCAAGAAAACGACCGGATAACTAAATGTGTGTTTTTTTCTGTGTCCCTCAGCCCCAGGACTTTAAACACACCCAGTCATTCATGCTCTGAGAAGCTGGCCTTCCTTTGAGAATACATCACCCTCGTGATAAGGTGCCAACACTGGATGATTTTCTTTTCTTTTCTTTTTTTGGACTCTTGAGTGAGCTGTTAATCTTCCAATACATGCTAATTTCAATCTTCTTCCTCTGCCACTCCTCTCGGATGGGTTATGACAAGCAAATTTTTGCGAGGCTTCTTCTTACTCTCTTGCTTTGCTGTGTGGGTCTGTCGTTCTCCTGCTCTTACGGGATTAAGTTAAGTTTCATGGCACTCTGCTCCCCCCTGGTGGTCAGATGTTGAAATTCCAATTGATCTTCTCTGAATGATCCAGGGGCTAGCTGAGCTTTCTACAGACTTTGCAGGCCAATCCTTTTTAACTACCTTTTGTTTTCTTTTACCAAAGACTGTGTGGTAAATATAAAGGTTTTAATCGTCACACAGAGTTCTCTTTAAAGCCATATGGAAAGCTTTGTTTTCAATCTATACAAACTTAAATGCAGTTTACCTCAGCGTCTGCCACATGCCAGTGCTTTGTCTTCTGTAACACTGGAGCCCCAGAAGATCCTCACGATCTTAGTAACAACATGGTACCAGACCAAGAGAACAGGAAGCCACTGCAGCCAATTCTACTGAGACCAACCCCATTCCATCCTAATGTGCCTGCATGGTCTTTATATATATAAATATACCTTGTGCCTTTTTAATTTGTCTGTCATATTTATCTATGGATCACAGTTTTTTGTAAAGAACTTGCCTTACTTTTTTCTGTCTTTATATTTTTGTGCCACTGTTTGTCGATGTTTATCAAAACGGAGTGTCTGTTTTTAGACAAGTGTGTGAATGGATTGTTCAGAGTTTTATTTGAATGGTGTACCAGTAATAAAAAGGTTTTCTATTCAAAACCATACTCGTCATTATTATTGCAATCACAGTCACACAGTGGTGGAATAATATATAATAAATACATTTGATTACATACTTTGACTCGTATTTCCACACGGTGCTAATGCTACTTTTACATAAGTAAAGGACTTCTTCCACCACTGCAATAGACCTTCACAGCAGCCATTTTGAAATGAAAATGGCAGGACTAACACAGGTGTTACTAATGATACTAATGAAGGCTCCATTCCATTCAGGTCAAGCGGCGTCAGGCTGCTGCCATAGTACACGCTGGCTCCCTGCAAAGGCTCTGCTCCACTAAATGGAACCAAACCTTCATTAGTGTCACTGGCAACACCTGTGTTCACCCTGCTGTTCCAAGTGTTGGGCTAATTACTCTTTATTTTATTTACTACTCCCTGCAAACAGTAATTAGTTACTCTACTAGTTATATTACTTTTCTGCCAGTTCCCACAAAACTGGTAATTGTGTCCTGTTACCCTGAAATTCAGACCGACGATTAAAATCTAGTTCTGTTTGGTTAAATAAAAGTATTAGTGCTGAATATAAACGGTTTTATCTTCCAAACTAGTTTCCTCAACGATTACAAAAATGAATCCAAGGATGTGATTGGATCGTTGGATTTTAAATTAGTAGGGTGGTGGTGACAACAAATGTAATGTTAGAACTTATTTTTGAGGGTGTTTATTGTAATATTACTGAAATGTATAAGTACTTAGTTACTGGGAAAAATAATATTTTAACTGTAATAATGCTATTAATGAGTTTACTGCCCAACACTATTTCAGGTCAAAATGGCTATTGTGAAGAAGACCTACAACAACACAAGTATCAAACCGAAATGATTTAACTCTAATCTACAGCAGCACTGATTAATGAATCTAAAGCTGGTTAGTTGGTTGCTTTTTGTGACCCACAGTATTTTTACTCCCTTATTCCTGAAACTAACTGCATCTTTTTCATCTGCACGTCGTCACATGCATGCTGAAAGCCTCTTCTGTATTCCCACAGGGGGACATACTGAAGCGCAGTAAGCAAGACTGTACATTAATCTTTCAAATGCATTTCCTACTGACAGGCATCAGAGACAGGTTGACAGACGGATTGAGCTCGGAGCCAGAGTTCAGTCCCCAAATTACAGTTCAATATTTAAGAGTGAACGCTATATAAAATGCATCCACTCCCACAGGTCTCACGGCTTGAATTTTTAAAATGTCTGCCAATATGGACAGTGGTGTTATTTATATATGAGTTCTCTAGTTGTTGTCAATCAAAATACACAGCAAGGTATGGATGTACTATTCTGTACTGGATGCAGTCACACTGAGCCAAATCTTGGTACTTTTTCTGGGCTCGACATTAAAGCCTGGCTGCACGTAAGAAGGAAACGTGCCCTTTCTGACGCAATTTCGGGTTTCAAACATTCTTCCTGGAAGGGCTTAAATGTATTTCTGACCTCGTCATAAAGCTGCACACTCGAGACCAACGCAGAGCGACAGCCGGTTTCCATCTAGGTCAGCCAACAGTTGAATCACTGCAATTTCTCATCAATGAATTTCAGCCATCTGCACGGAAATTACAACCAATTCTAATGCTAATTTATTATAATTCAACTCGTGTTCTCTAAAAGGCAAATACAGAGTGCTGCTGGAAAGTATATGAACCTCCTGAGAGCTTTGTTTTCTATTGTTTCATCATTATTTCTTTATTGAAGCAGAACCAACTAATCACAATATAATAAGTAATATAAAAAGTGCAATATCCAAATCACAGAAGCTTCTTTGAGAAAAGTAAAATGTGAAAAGCTTTATAACATTATAATGAAGTACTGCAGTGCTGCAGAGGTGTCCTGACCTACAGATCTTGTTCTCCAGACTTAAAAAAAAAACATTTTTGGTACGCACGTCACATTAAAATGACGTAAAATGATCATCCCCACTAATCGTCATATCTGTCAAAATAATTTAAACAATGTTTTGATCATATTGTGCAGCCCTAACAAAGAAAAAGGAAAATAAATCTCCTGAGACATTTTTTTTTAATCTGGAGAACAAGATCTGTAGGCCGAGTCCTCTCTGCAGCACACGACTTCATTATGTTATAATGCTTTTCACATTTTACTTTTATCAAAAAAGATTCTGTGATTTACTTTTTACAATATTAAGGTAATTACCCTCAGCATGGTCGACCTGTGTGGGTTCATTATGGTAAGACTAAACTGAGTGCTGCCCAGTTTCTCCCCCAAACGTCTCATGCCATTGATTCATTTAGCCAACAACTGGGTGCCACCTGATTGTATTTACCTGCAGCTCAGGGTTCACCAACGTTTGCTCCTACAAAACTTTATCAAAAACTATTTTTAATTTAGTCTTTTCACAAAACAATTGTCTTCCTCAAATAGGTATATAGAACTAAACACACTTGTTATTTTATATGAAAAATACTGGTTCTGATTAAATA